TCCTGTCCGCCACACTGTGAGCAGCTTTCCTCTGCCCAGACCCTTCTGCTATGCTATTTCTGTGTCTAAGTCTGCTGATGGACTGGAACTTCTGAAACTTGAGCCAAAATAAGTCTCTCCTCATCTAGTTTGTGGGTGTAAGAGGTTTTGTTTCTGTGAGAAAGAAAGTGACTGAGACAATACTTGAGACTTCTGTGCTGATCAATGAATTTCTTAAAGTATGGTGCTTAATTTGCAAGTCCATCTAAGTGATTCCATTATAGTTAGAAAATACTTTGTGTGGTTTTATTTTAAATTTAAAAGATTGTTCTGTGATTCACAATATGGTCTATTCTGGTGAATTTTTCATGTATACTTAAATAATGTATATTCTATTGTTGATTTGATGGGATATTCCATAAATATTAATTATGGAATTAATATTCCATAAATATTAATTAATATGTTCTATTCTTGTGAATTTTTCATGTATACTTAAATAATGTATATACTATTGTTGATTTGGTGGGATATTCCATAGATATTAATTATTAATTAATTCCATATAATATTATGGGATATTCCATAAATATCAATTAATTAAAAATCATAATTCCATAATTATCATTGATGGTGGTGTTTAGGTCTTCCATGCTTTTGTTGATCTTTTGTCTGCTTGGGCTACTAAATACTACAAGAGGAGATGTAAAACTCTATAACTGTGTATTTGTCTCTTTCTTCTTTCAATTCCATCAGCTTTTGCTTATACTGAAGCTCTGTTATTAGGTGCCCACACATTTAAGGTTGGTAAATCTTTTTTAGTGAGTTTGATTCTTTTTACTGTTATGCAATATCTCTCTTTATACTTGATAATTTCCTTGTTCTGAAGTCTATTTCAGCTCATATTAACATGGCCACTAGCTTGGCAGGGTTACCTTTCCTATCCTTTTATTTTTAATTTATTGATATCCTTGTGCTTGAACCGAGTTTTGTAACAGCATATAGTTAGGTCTTGTGTAGTTGTTGTTCTATCCAACTCAATAATCTCCAGACTTTAATTGATGCATTTAGAGCATTTATATTTAGTGTCAAGTATTGATATGGTTGGATTTAGGCATTTTAAAATTTTATTTTAGAGAGTCTTGCTATGTTTCCCAGGCTGGCCTTGAAGCATTGACATTCTTGCCACAGCCTCGGAAGTGCTAGGACTACAGGTGTGCCCCACTTAGCTTGGCTCCCATTTTACTCTCCATTTGCAGTTTTCTTGCTCCCCTTTCCTGGCTTCTGATCCATCTGAGTATTTCTTGTCATTCTACTTTAACTTACCTATCAGTTTTGTTTTGTTTTTACTATATCTCTTTGTATAACTTACATAGTTATTTCTTTGGGGGTTAGAATAGGTGTATCTAACTTCTCAGTACACTTCCAGTTAATAGTTCGCTATTTCCAGTGAAGAAAATTGCACCTACTCGCATCCCTTTATACTTTGCTTTTTATGTTAAAGTTGTCATATTATGGAACCTAAATATATTAAAAACTACGTGGGTATAATTCTTGCTTTCAACAATCATAAAACTATGGCTCTTACATAGACTTGCATGCCACCCATTCGTTGGGGCAATGCTGATCTCCCCTGGGCAGTTCCAGTTTTAATGTACATGCTGTCCAAGTAAGCAGCAAACATGTTTTTGCAGTGCTTTCTTGATAAAGACATCTGAAATTGGCACCAACTTTGTAGATCTGTGCACTAAAGTTACAATTACAGGGGCTGGGAATTTAGCTCAGTGGTGCAGCACCTGCCTGGCAAGCGCAAGGTTGTGAGTTTGATCCCCAGTACCAGGAAAAAACCAAAAAAAAAATTTAAAAATTTAAAAAATAAAGTTAGAATTACAGACAAAGCTAGAATTGACTGTAATAAGCATTTAAGCTTTGACAGTAAAGAGTGCAAAATTAAATCTTTGTATCCTGAACCAAGGCATAATATGAAATTAAAACTAGAAATATATGCAAAAATAATTGGTGGCAAAAGTGGATTTTTTCTTTTTCTTTCCTTCCTCTTTCCCTCCTTCTTCACTCCCTTCCTTTCTTTCCTCCCTATTATCTTTCCTTCCTTCCTTTTTCCTTCCTTCCTCCCTTTTTCTCTCCTTCATTTTTGCAAGAGGAAGGTTTATAATATCAAAAGTACCATTATATAGGGTTGTCCCAATGGAAGATATTTTCAAGAAGTTGTGATTGGAAGGAGATTTTTCCATTTTGCAATAAGTAGTAGATATTTGCAGAGGATATAATAAAGAAAGTTAGCTCTGCCAATTTTAAGATTAAGGAAAGAGAAGTCATACCCCACATTGCTTGGATCATAGCCAAGGAAATGATCTAAAAATTTCTCTAAAGCAGTTTTGACTTTAAACACCTCTTAAAGGTCTTTTGTGCCTATAATTTTATTTGCTCCTGCTATACTCCTATTAAAAATTCTGTCCACACGCCAGCACAGGGAAGGGATGAGCCTGCCCTTCATTCAGGGAGGCACCATCTCCCTCTGTCACCTTGGTCCTTCTCTGGAGCGTGTTGTCATGGGGTTGGAATGCTGGCTGTGGAGGTGACTGTGATGTAAGGCTGAAACCAAGGAGGCAGGGAGCCATTACACCTCACCTCGATTGAGCTATTGTGCACTAGAGGTTGCAAGTGGGCTTAGAGATGCTTTCTTTGGTGAGCAGGGACCATTTGCATGTGGAGTCTGTGGGGAAACAGGCTGCATACAAGGTGGTCAGGATGTCTTGCCCTCTTCCCTGCTTAGGTGCAGGAACATTTGGGAAACTTTATCTCTTTACATCTCAGCCACGGTGAGCAGTATCTCTCCATGGCCCCTCTGTGTTAGCTTACCATCAGTATGACAAAATATCTGAGACAAGTCAGCATAAAAAGAGGAAAGGTTTATTTTGGCTATTGACATTGGAAGCTTCTTGATATTGGAAGCTTCCATCCATGACCAATCAGCCCCATTGCTTTGGCCTGTGGTGACACAGGGTGTCATGGTAGGAGCTGTGGTGGAGGAGTCCCATTTACCACACAACCTGCAAAAACAGAATGGGATGGGTCCCTAATCTGCTCACAGGGCATCTACCAATGACAAACTTCCTTCCACTAGGCCTCCCCTCCCACAGGAGCCAGCACCTCTAGTAGTACTATGGGCTGGAAACCAAGTCCCTGGGGACATTTCGGATCCAAACTCTAGCATCCTCCGTCCACTTGATCCCTGTGACAACCCTGGTCTTCCTGTCACATGATGTCATCCTGACATGGACTTAAAACTCCATAAGACCAGGATGGCCTCTGTCCCTGAAGTGACTTACTTGGTACACTCAGCTTGAGAGAAGCACCTGGTGGGGAGGTTGAGCACGTAGGCTCAGCAGCCGGTCTGCAGTTGATTCCTGACTACCCTTGTCTAGCTGGGGCAAGTCACATCAGTGCTCTGGGTGTCAGTTTCCCCTCTCATAAAATCAGGGGAATAGCACTACTTGCGAAGATTAAACAAGCTGAGACATGTAAGGTGCTTAGCAGGTGTGCCTGGCATACCCTAAGTGCTCTTACATATTTTCCTTATTAAGCAATTAATTTTTTCTCATAAAACTGTGGAACAAATATATATGATACATAAAGCAAGGCAAAGCACAAACAGGGTTAACTGAGGAGAAGGCAAAGAAAACAGAGAAGGTGACCAGATTCTGACTGCCAAAAGCGAGCAACTGTCTTTAAGAGATACCAAGATTGGGGAATGTGTGCTGGTCTCATCGTTTTAGAAGCCCACACAGTACCATGTATCAAGAGCACCCTCACACCCTGCGATCCAGCCATCCCGCCCCAGATGCATTTCAAAGAGAAAAGGGTTGTGGGTCCAGTCCAGGAATATCTGGCAGAGAACGGTCATCACGCAAATATCTGTGGCTCTCGTAACTGGACGCCAGAGGCATGTCCCTCATCAGAAGAAGGGAGAGATGAGTGGCGGCAGTGAAAACAGATGATACACATCACCCAGGTCACCAGCAGAGAGGCGACTCTTGCCAGTGTTGAGGCAGGAGCAACAGGCACAGCACCAAGCCCCAGGCGGAGGAGCCGGGCACGGATTTCAGTGGGGATGCTGCTTATATAGGGGAGCTCTGGGGCACAGCTATCTGGGCGTTTCTTCATCTGTTGCTCACTACGTGTGAGGAGCAGGTTGGGGAAGCTCTCTGAAGTGTGGCCTTGTTGTGTGTGTGCATGTGTGTGTGTGTGTGTGTGTGTTTGTGTGTGTGTTGTATCATGTGTGTATCATGTGCCCTTGAAGAAACAAAGAGAACAGAAAGGAAAGAATAGCAAGAAAGAGAAGGAGAAGGAAAGGGAGAGGGGAAGGGGAGGGGAGGGGGAGAGAGAGAGAGAGAGAGAGAGAGAGAGAGAGAGAGAGAGCGATCCCTTGCTGAGGGACACCTAACCCCTGGCTCACCCCTCTGCCTTCCCAGCACCCACCCCTGTCCCTCTCTGCTCCACAGAGGATTGCAAAGGTCCCCGTGTACAGGTCCACGAGCCACTCCTTCCTCACCTCCTTGGCTCTCACTGCCTCCCCCTGCCTGGGATATGGCTAATAAAACAGGAAAAGCTTTCCAAGGTGGGCGCTGGTAGCATAAAAACGTCCCAGCACTCTAGGGGGCTGAGGCAGGATGATCACAAGTTCAAGCCTAGTCAGTTGGGCACCTTAGCAGCTTAATAAGACACTGCCTCAAAAATTAAAAAAATAATCGTAATAAAGGGCTGAGGGTGTAGCTCAGTATCAAAGCTCTGGGTTCATCCCTGAACTGGGGGAGGAGGGGGAAGAGTTATCATTTAATACTAAAAAGCCATCTCTCTTGTGTGCCCCTGTCCCTAACTCTCCTCTCCTGCCTTAGCACCCCCTCCAGGCCCGCGGGGTGGAGGCCCTGTCTCTGCGGGACAGTGGCCTAGCAGGTCCCCCTTGACCCCGCCCCCGGCCGCGGCTATTTTGGGCTCGCAGCGCGCGCGATCGCTGACAGTCGGGATCCGGTGACACCGCCGCCTTAGCAGCCGCCGCACTTGTTGCTCAGGACTTGCCCTCACCGTCTTTGCCCCGCGCTGCCCCGAGTGTGCCCTCCCGTGGGTCCAGGAGTGGATGGTTTAAAACACGACATTAGACACGCGGGGACGGGGACAGGGCGACGGCATGACGGACACGGCGACGGCCAACGGGGACGACAGGGACCCCGAGATCGAGCTCTTCGTGAAGGTAGGAGGGGGACCCGGGAGACCTGCGCGACCCGTAGTGCCCATGCAGAGACTTGAGGTGCCACCCGGACCGTGTGGTGCCACCCGGAAACACCCCTGGGGTGCCACTGGGACCCCCCCAAGCGGTGCCCCGCTCCCGCTGCCACCGCTCTTGGAAGAAGGCGCGACCAGCAGGTGTCCGTCGTCCTGGAGAGGTGGTCGCAGGACGGGTCCACAAGGCAGTGTCCCCATGGACCCCTCGGGTAACCTGGGGAGGGTCCAGGAGGGGATTTGTGTCAGTATGATCCTCTCTGGCAAAGCAAAAATAACATTTTTTTAACCCCCTTTCTCACTTTCACTCAGAACCACTAAAATTAAATTAAAGCACAAGGGACAAAGGTATTCTCTGCTGCGTGACAGGGGAACCGCGATGTGCTCGGTTAGGACCCGGATCACAGTCGCTCCCGTGCTTGCTCGGGAGAGACCGGGTCAGGGATGGGGCCACTCTGGAGGCGGATGCATCCTCACCTGCAGGAGAGGATGACTGGGGAACATTTGATCAGGCTCCTGCCTCTACAGCCTGGGAAACCTGAGAGCAGGCGGAGCCTGTGGGGGAGGGGCGTAGCCTGATGCAGAGCCCAGACCTTTCACCCGGACAGAGCCCTTGAAGGAGAGTTTCCTGGAAATATTGGGAAAGCCCAGAGAAGGTCCCTGGGAGTCTGCAAGGGCCTCCTGGCTAGATGGAAAAGGCACCTGGTCTCACGGAACCGGGAGAACGTGGCTTTGTTCAGGTCATCGGTGTTTGCAAGCCACTTCAATAGATTTTTGTGGAAAATTGGAGGTCTACATTCACCTTGATTGACAACACTCTTTGTCCACCTAAAAACATAGAAAATCGGTGGTGACTTTCTTTATGCTTGCAAAGTGATCTTTCCCAGTCTACATAAAAGGTTCGTTAAATTTTGCCTGCTGGATTTATAGTCTGCACATTTGTTTTTTTTCCAAATGACACCTGTCTTTTTGTGACATTTGCCTGGTTTCTAGATCCCCCTGGTCAGGATCTGCAGATCCAGGGAATGCAAGAGCTGGTGTCCCTTCCTGGGCAGGTCAGCCTTGGGGCCACCGGAGCATGAAGGGGGTGCCCTGCCCCCCACAGTCCAGGCCTGCAGCCCAGAGGGTGAATAGGCAGAGCTTTCACAAAGCCAGGAGTCTGCCCCTCTCCTTAAGAAAGCTGCTGTAGGACTTACTCAGATTCCCTGGGAGTAGGTGGCGGAGGCAAGGTGTCAAGTTCCAGAGGTATTTGAAACACAAATTGGTTCTTTAGAGTCCAAAGAGCCCTTTGCCCTACTACTAGGCTACTAGGCAAGAAGACCAACTCTACCTGCACCTTTGGAATTTTAGGTTGGCAGCCCTGGAGATTTTGTCCATTTATATGAAAAGCTCACTGCACAGCTTCTTTGCCCCCAAAGAATTCTAAAATGCCTGTGCTGCCATTTGCTTTGTTCCCTAAAGGAAAGCAATCCACAAGAGCCAGGCAGGCCTTCGGGACTGCTCAAAGGCCAGATTGAGGGGGAGAACAAAAAAAAAATTAGATAGGGAAGCGGTGTTGACCCTCCTCCCCCATTTCTTGAGCTTCTGGTTCGGATTACCACTTACAGGGACAAATAAAGGCTGGAAAGACTGTGAAATAAAGATGCCATCCAGGCCTTGAACTGTGTCATTTTAGGGAAACAATGTCCTGATTTACAGAATCAGTCGTATACAGGGTTTAGGGCTTCTCTAAGCCAAGAGAGCTATGATTCCCACATAAAGAGAGGCCTCTTTGCTAGTGGTGTTCAGTGGCTGAGGTGGTTTCTAGGATGTCTTTCCCAGGGGAGCAGGCCCCACCAAGGGTCTGGATAGGGTTACTGAAAGCACCCCCAGCTCAGCCAGCCTACTGGGTCCACCATTCTACGTCACCATCACTCAGGGGGTTTGCTGGGCAAGTGACCTTCTCTCAGGTTAATGTATAGTCACTACCTGTTACTGATGCTCCTATGATAGCAGCAGTCAGCAGCACTGGGTTCCTATGGAAGGAGCACATTCCTATATTTTATCTCATTTGGTCCCCAGCATCACTGTTTATGAGAGTTGCTTCACTGGTGTGAGAAATGAGCAAAACAGAGCTGACTCACAGGGACCTCCAGAGACAGATGCTGTCAGAACATCTGGTGAGCTTTGGTTGCCCTCTGGTGATGGCCCCAGAGCAAAACAGAATCTTAGATTGGTCCCATTTTGTGTTGGACCAGCAGGTGTGCTCAGAGAGGGGTGGGAAATGCTCCAAGGTAGAGAGCAAATAACATTCATATCCTCCCTTATACTTCCTCATACTCAATTTCCAGTTCTGAGCTTTCAAGTATCATTGTGATGACAATGACGTGTCATTTACTAATCTGTGAGGATGTTTTCATAGAATGTTGTCAAGGAGATGGCTAAGCCCTGGGCTCATTCCCTTGCAGAGAGCATGCTAAGGGAGACTTTGAAGAGATAGTTTCCCTGCATTTTTAGTTTCTTCATCTATTATAAGAAAGGTTAGCTCAGGGGAACTCTGATTCTACTGTTCGGTAATACCACTGGATGGGCCAACCATTTGTCTTATCTCTGCCTCCCATCAGCTAAATGACTGAACAAATTAGCTTGTGTGAGCCTAAATGTCCCCCTCTTAAAACACGAGCAAGGTTAAAGTAAGGTGAGCATATATCGTCCAAACCAAGGCACTTGTGAGAGTGTCAGGAAATCCTACCAATGCTTCCCTCTGGGATAATGAGTACAACCCAGGGCTGTTTGGAGCAAATCAGGAGGTGTGGTCACTTTGGTTAGGAAAATACTATCCCCACAGGTTTGCTATAAGACTCCATAGGAACGTATAGGTGGAAACACTACCAGAATTGGAAATTTTTCGGGACACTGGGCTTCCATCATGATGTGGGTTCCATGGCAGGGTCAGGTAGACCTCTTCCCACCTGCATGTTTTCAGCTTGTCTTGGGGAACAAAGGCCTGGCTCTTTTGCAGGGATATTTTGAGACTCAATGAGATCATACACAGCTTGGACTTTGAACACAAAGGGAGGGTAACAGGTTAGAGTGTGTGTCTTGTATGTGAGTGTGGTTTGTTGAAGGAAAAAACAACAAGGAAGTAAAAGCAAAACAGAAGCAGGCTGGGAAGACAAACGCAGGATGTGCTGAGCACATTAAATCCAGATATTCCTCCTGTTTGAATTGTATGGCCACTCTTGGTCCCACCCCTGGCCCCAGATATTGGAAACCACCCAAGTGAAGTGACCGTAGTGGACAAATTCCATCCAAACATCTCCGGGGGTGAGGGGGGCCGGGACTTGTGTTTTATGAGAAACCAGCGTTCGTTCTCCAGCTTGGCTACATGTTTAAATCATTGTGGGAGATGCCAGGCTCTCCCCAGGCTATTGACATCAGCGTCTCTGTGTGTGGGTAGGGCACAGAAGTGGCATTTCTACTCCATCCTGGGAACTCCAGGGGACAGCTGGATAAAGAGCCTCTGAGACAACATCAGAGGTTGTGTAGCAGCAAGCAGCTTCTGCCACTGCTAACACAGGTGCCTTGCTAATGCAGATTTGCATCCACAGCGAATGGTCTCGGGACATCGAAGTCAGGAGCATTGTTGATAGAGAGCTGGCTCCCTCGGGACTCAGCTCACAAATGCTGATGACTAGTGGGTCCTGTTTATGGAGCTCCAGAACAATCTGTGTGTGGGTCAGTAGGGAAATAAAGAGTCCCTGATTACCTTCTGCAAATGCCAGTTGTTTCCTTTACTGTGTGACCCAGAAAATCTCTGACAGTGGCACAGGGCACAAGTCCAGGTCACGGGGACCTGTGGGGTGCCCATCTGACTTCCAGAAGAGACAGGAGCCAGGCTCCCTCCCTGGCCACAGCTGCTGGGGATGGGCAGGGTCACCTTGGGCAGCTCACTTCAGCATGAGCTCATTCGGCTGCCGTGCTCACCCCTCACGGAGCCGGTGCAGACACTGTGCTCCTCTGCCCCACCATGGGCAGGTGGGGGTCTGCCGGCAGTGATCTACTCACAACTCCCCCTGATCCAGATGTTGTGAGCTTCTTTTCCAGGGAGCATAGCACACAAGGACAGATGGTGCCCACCCTGGGTGCCCAGCAACAACGGTCTCAGCTCCTGCCTCCCACTGACTGGGGCTGCTCTGGGGGTATTGCTGGTTCTCTCCAGCCAGGGCACAGACAGCCAGTGGAGACAATCAGACCCAGTGCTTTCATCCTTTTTAAGGAGTAAAGATAGGAGGACTGTCCTTTAGCAAACACCTGCTGAGAAAAAGAGAGGCATAGGAGGGGTTAGCAAAGAGCTGAAGCCATGAGAAGCAGGAAATACATATGATCTCCTGAGTGATGGGAGCTTCCTGAACAATGGCTTGGTGGCAACACATGTTGGAATGCGTCTTGGAAGAATGAGTTCTGCTCAGCACAGGCTTCGTGTCAGGGGCATTGGGAAGGTGGATGGAAATATGTTTGATTTCTGGCCAGATAGTGTGAATGAGGTGAATTATCATCAGCAGAAGCTTATTTCTCAGTTCTGGAGGCTGTGAACACTAGGATCAAGACACCGGCTGATTAAGAGTCTAGTGAAGGCCTGGTTTCTGGTGCAGAGATGATGCCTACAAGATGGGGTCCTAGGTCCTCACGTGGTGGGACCTGAGGACTCTGGTCTCTTTGGTCCCCCTAAAGTACTAATCTCGTCCTGCGTTCCCTACCCTGCCGTCATCACTGACTCACCTCCCCAAAGTCCTTCCAACCATCAGCTTGGACATCAGATTCCAAGCAGGAATGCTGGGGACACAGACATGGGGACCATAGCAGAGTGGACCAGGAGGCATCTCTAAGTGCAAGCTGCGTAGTCTGGACCTTCAGTTACAATGTAGAAGACTGTGTGCGCTCCTTTCTGCTGGTGGAGAGTTATAGTTTAGAAGAGAAGGCGCCGCTTTG